GTCATAAAATTAGAATATCATGAAAAAGTAGATTGATTTCAGTAATTCCATTTAAAAAGTGAAACTTGTATATTATATTCATACATTACATACAAACTCATATATTTCAGATGTTTATTTTGTTTAATTTTGATGATTACAAATGACAACAAATGAAAATCTCAAATTCATCATATCAGAAAATTAGAATATTACTGAAGACCAATAAAAACAAAGGATTTATAGAAATGTTGGCCAACTGAAAAGTATGAACATGAAAAGTATGAGCATGTACAGCACTCAGTATTTAGTTGGGCCTCCTTTGGCCTGTATTACTGCAGCAATGCGGCGTGGCATGGAGTCGATCAGTCTGTGGCACTGCTCAGGTGTTATGATAGCCCAGGTTGCTCTAATAGTGGCTTTTAGCTCTTCTGAATTGTTGGGTCTGGTGTATTGCATCTTCTTCTTCACAATACCCCATAGATTTTCTATGGGGTTAAGGTCAGGAGAGTTTGCTGGCCAATTAACCCATTTAGGCCTAAAACGCCTGGAAAAAACACCTTAAAAACCTATGGCCGATTTTAAAAAATACCCCTAAAACCTGAAGTTTTTCTGTAAATTCAGCAACTGTGTCAACGCCTAGTAAATTATTGATATCTCAGCTTCTGTAGCAGATAGAACTCAAAATATATTTTATCTTTGAAATTCTTCCAAAAAAAAAAGTGAAAAGCAGTAATAAAAAAATAAAAAATTCAACCTTTATTTTTTCCATATGTGATCATGTCTTCATTGAGAATGTGCAATATAAAACGTTTTTAAAATAAAGAACAAACATTACATAAATAACTATCTGATGATTACTTATTAACAGTATTATTATGCATAATAATGCATATGTCTGTGTTATAAATTGCATACAACTTACCTCCAGATGGCCACAAATCTGTCCCGGGACATATTTTGGCGGAACTGCGTCCTGAAGAGAGGTTTACTCTGTCGCCAATAATCTCTTCGTACTGGCAACACAAGAAGTCCTATGCCCATACACAGCCCAATAAATGTCTTCATCTCCGTCACAGTCACGGGTGACCACTTTGCCATCTTTGCTCTTGTTGGAGTTTGGTTTGTTTGGTCACTGTACCTATTCGTCTCGGTAACAAGATGCATCCAAAGTTCTTCATTAAAAATATGCTCAAATGCCTGCAGCGGTGTGGTGTCTGCAGGCAAATCAACTTTCACTCCAGGTGTGCGGTTGAAAACACTCCGTGCATTGCGGTGGTAGTTCGATTGGTTCAGCGCGTTCAAAGTCATCATTTTCATCTATACCGTCATCAAAGCCGACACACTCCTCAAAATCACTGCCTTCCGACATCTCTTCTCTGTCAAACTCCTCCATGTTTGCTTGAAAAAAACTTCTTTCTTCTTGCTTGACTTATATGCTCTCCCGGCGTCAATGGTAGAATTACGCAACAGCGCCCCCGGCTTGAATGGTAGAAATGCGGTAATGCTTTCCCGGCCTAAATGGGTTAAGAACAGGGATACCATGGTCCTTCAACCAGGTACTGGTAGCTTTGGCACTGTGTGCAGGTGCCAAGTCCTGTTGGAAAATGAAATCTGCATCTCCAAAAAGTTGGTCAGCTGCAGGAAGCATGAAGTGCTCTAAAACTTCCTGGTATGTGGCTGCGTTGACCCTGGACCTCAGAAAACACAATGGACCAACACCAGCAGATGACATGGCACCCCAAACCATCACTGACTGTGGAAACTTTACACTGGACTTCAAGCAACGTGGATGAAGTGCCTCTCTTCTTTTCCTCCAGACTCTGGGACCTTGATTTCCAAAGGAAATGCAAAATTTACTTTCATCAGAGAACATGACTTTGGACCACTCACCAGCAGTCCAGTCCTGTTTCTCTTTAGACGCTTCTGACGCTGTCTGTGGTTCAAGAGTGGCTTGACACAAGGAATGCGACAGCAGAAACCCATGTCTTTCATACGTCTGTGTGTGGTGGTTCTTGAAGCACTCACTCCAGCTGCAGTCCACTCTTTGTGAATCTCCCCCACATTTTTGAAGGGGTTTTGTTTCACAATCCTCTCCAGGGTGCGGTTATCTCTCTTGCTTGTACACTTTTTTCGACCACATCTTTTCCTTCCCTTCGCCTCTCTATTAATGTGCTTGGACACTGAGCTCTGTGAACAGCCAGCCTCTTTAGCGATGACCTTTTGTGTCTTGCCCTCCTTGTGCAAGGTGTCGATGGTCGTCTTTTGGACAACTGTCAAGTCAGCAGTCTTCCCCATGATTGTGTAGCCTATAGAACTAGACTGAAAGACCATTTAAAGGCTTTTGCAGGTGGTTTGAGTTAATTAGCTGATTAGAGTGTGGCACCAGGGGCCATCAATTTTGAACCTTTTCACAATATTCTAATTTTCTGATATGATGAATTTGAGATTTTCATTTGTTGTCATTTGTAATCATCAAAATTAAACAAAATAAACATCTGAAATATATGAGTTTGTATGTAATGTATGAATATAATATACAAATTTCACTTTTTCAATCAATCTACTTTTTCATGATATTCTAATTTTATGACCAGCACCTGTAGTTGACTACCTTACAGCATACACAGATCGTCTACTGCTAATCTGTGTCCTGCTGAGATTATCTACATCAATTAAAAATAATATAACCTCTACATTTGATAGATCTGGAAATCAATTTTTTAAGGACAAGATAAATTCAAACTACATGCACAGAAGTGTTTTAGTGAACAAACATGGAACAGCCTAATTAAGTTGAGACTTTGCTATAACAAAGTTTAGCTTTTAACAAGGAGGACAGGATTTTAGAGAGGTTTTAATGCTAAAATGATCTAACAATATATCTGTGAATTGGAGATTTTGGGTCAAAAAAAAAGAAAAGGGGGAAGCCAATGATCTCTGTATAGATAAATCAGTTTGGAATGTAGATTATGATTGAAGCACAGTTATAGACAAAAAAAAATGTTTTCATCTTCTACATTTAGACATAAAAAAAAACTGCAAAAGATGTGCATTTCCCTGTGGATTACTGCAGTATACTCAAAAGTATGTTTGATCCTTGAAGCTGGTTGGAAATAAAATATTTTCAATTATTATACCCTGAAGGTGAGATAATACACAATATTAGGTTCATGAGGACATGGGACAATCTTTAATAACTTTCAAAGAACTAAAAAGTTTATTTTAGTTCTTAGTTTATTTAGAAAAAAAGAGTCCAATCTACCATTCTTAAATCATTTTCTTCATATTTTCAATAGTTTTGAAAAATGCAAGTAGTTCCTAAAAAAAGCAGTACAATATCCCTTATTCATTTGATGAAAAACTGGCACAGTTGAGGAGATTATAGTGTTGAAAGGAACATCAGTCCTGGGATTAGAGTGAAGAGAGGCAGATCTAAGAGAGCACTGAGGTGTGGATCAATGTGTATCATCTCTACTGTCAGCAGCAGCCTGGAATGGGAGAAATGTGCTGCAATCAAATGCCAGCAGATGGCAGCAGAGAACCTCACTAACAAAGGTCTACTCTGCATCGAAAACAATTCCTCCTATGTTATAGGAGTGTATATTACGGTAATTTATATAATTTGGTCTGTGTCATAATGTTAAGTTTTTTTGTTACTTTTTCCAATTCTTTAAACATGTTTACAAGTCTCCAACTAATATTTAATTCACTCTGTGCTACATTCTCTGTACAATTTTCCACATTTGTTTTGCATCCCAGCAGCTGAAACTATCAAATTGTGTGATTATTCAAGATTATTGTATTTGAAAATTAAAAATATAATTTTTTTATTTATTTTATTTATTATAAAATTTTACTGTTTTTGTGGATCAGCCATTATAATCTTCCTAGGCTCCCTAGATGTCCTACTCACTACTGCGAACGTTTAAGCAGCTGTCATAAGGTTTAGGGTGTTTTGTGAATAACAACTGTTAAAATCTTATAATCTGAGGAATCTTAAGATTGTTCCGAAATGATACCACTATTTGTCTTAGGAGTCTTCGTGAATACGGTCCTGATGTGAAGTCGCTTTTGTTTACAAACAAAAACTGGATGATTTTCTCAGTACATAACAGGGTTGCTACGCTCTGTTTTTCTTGCCACTTACACTGCGTAACCCACCAATTAAACAGATTTGAGTTAAAGGTATAGTGGAGGATTTCCGCAAATTTTTTAAAAGACCCGCCCTCTCCACTTTAAAAAAAAGCACAGTCACATCCCTGTACCCGCTCCCGAGAGGTAACGCCTATTAAACCCGTACAAGAGCCCATTTCTCCTCGTGCACGCTGTTTAAAAGTTGCTGTTTGCATCGCTCATACAAGCTTATTTTCCAAAAGAAGATTTGCAGTTTTTCCACTATGTCAGATTCACCACCAGTAAGGGAAAATGGAGACGAGCACGTAGGACGGCCTTACGTGAACATATCACGAAAATGACTGACATTTACGAGGACCACTTATTTTGATGATCCACCCGGAAAGAGAACATCCTCCATTATACCTCCAAACAATTTACATGACATCCATAACTACTAAGTCCAGCTATAAAACAAACGAGTCAGGACAACATGACCATGGCAAGAACTACTCTGACTCTAGTTGCTCAAAAAAGCTTTATGGAGTGGATTTTATTCCATTATTGTTGCAGGCAAGAGCACGTATATAAATGGGTATTAAAAAAGAAAAAAAATTTGAAAAGAATATTCTTACTGAAAAAAAGGTTTGGAGAGTAAACCTGCAGTTTGTCAGATTTTACTTTTCTAATTTTTTTTTTTTTTTTACTTCAATTTCCAAAACCAATTTTTTTACTTGCAACAACTGATCAACATTCCTTCCATTAATTTTTTTTAAATCAATGTAGTATGTAAACTAAAACAAATAGAACACATTGGATGTAGAATTTGTGATAATCCTGCGTAACAACAGACCATGTGTTCCGTTTACTAAGGTCATAAAACTGATGGACCAAAGCAGAATCTTAAAAGACAGAGCTGGCTGACAGAAACAAGTCACTTGGAGAACAGTGCTTCCCAAAAAACTCTAATAGAAATGAACTCCAATGGCTCAACCACTAGCACACCTAAAATTCATCTCCTTAGATGCAAAAGTGAATCAAAATCTGCCCTAATTTACTTTGTTGCATGGAGTGCAAATAACTCAGCCTTGACTTCCACCCTGGAAACCATTTGTGATCATCGCTGAAGAGAAACCTCTATGCTGCATCACTTTGACATCAACACTCTCCTGAGATAGCCCACTGAAAAGTTGCCCTGATATATAAAATCAGCACAAAAGTACAAACAGAACTCAAACAGTAAACAAAATCCCCTTAAAGCGACAACAACAAAAACACGGCCCAGTCAGGAACCTGTGTACGCCGCACAGGCTTAAGTTTGTTCTCTTCGAAAAAGAGAAGAATTCAGAACTAAATTTAAAGATTTAAACATTAGAAAAGGAAAAAATGAACGAAAAGAAGATCTTAGTGGAAATAAAAATAAAGGTACAGCAAATCACACTGGGATAGGGCTGCAACAACGAATCGATAAAATCGATACAAATCGACTTTTAAAAGCGTTGGCAACGAATTTAATCATCGATTAGTTGTGTCGCGCGATTAATGCGTCATCCGCCGCCGCCGTCATCCCGGGGAAGAAAAAAAAATATGGCGGAGCGAGTCAGCGCCGCAGTTGCAGTGTTGCCAACTCAGCGACTTTTCAGACCCCTCCAGCGACTATTTTTTTAAAAAGCGACTAGCGACAAATCTGGCGACTTTTTACGGTGTCACTGGCGGCTTTTGGAGACTCTTACGTGAAAGCATGTATCGTTCCTACTCTTGTCCTCCAGCGGCAGCTGCTGCCGCGGGGCGCCTCCCTCATCCCAACCCCTTTCTCCCTCTCCCACAGGAATCCCTCTCAGCGTGCAGTCCGAGCCGCAGGATTTTAGTGAGGAGTTTACCCTCAGCGTCCAGACCGCTTTGTAAAGTGAAAAAAGTCGTAACATGCAACTTTTGTAAAAAACAAATGAGCATGGCACGGAAGCACCACTGTTATGACGCAGCACCTGAAAAGAAAACACGTTGGAGTCTTCAATGGCAGTGAAGAGAGCTGATCAGCAGGATGAGTAACCATGTTTGTTTCATTTTAAAGTGGGGAAACGTAAGTTAGTTTCTCAGGTAGCTCATCTGATGCTTTCCTTAGCTTGTTAGTAGGTTACAGACAGGGATAAGGTTGGCTACTTATTTTACTTTTAATTTCATTTGAATAAGCTTAAGCAGCGTTTATATTTTCTTTATAAATAAATTAATTTGCAAATTATGAGGGCAAGGCTTTTAAAGTTTAAATCTTCTGGCAAAGATAAAGTAAAGAAGATCCTGCAATTTATGGAAGTAAAGCAGAATAAAATCCAGCAAGATCAGTAATATGTCAATTAATTATCTGCCACATTCCCATGTAAATATCTGTCTTTGGAGGATGTGTTTTTTAGCACCCCTAGTTCTCTCATTTTTATTCCAAATACAATTTATAATTTGAATCACAGGGCTATTTTTATCTCTATGGTTCAGTATTTTCTCAAGTAGCAACTTTAACTGCTATACTTTCCTGTCTTAAAAGGCAGAACTCTTCTAGTCTAAAAAAAACTCATTTGTTGAAATGGGGGGACCTATTGTTTGAACCCCTTAGGGGCTTTAAAAAACAAAAATGCCTGTCTCTTTTTGCGCTTTATGAAACAAAGTACCCTATATTTTGTGGATGTACAGCTACATTTCTCATGTAAGTTTGCGTAGTTTTAACACAAACATTTATTTTTCATATTGCACCAGTACAGTTAATGAGAAACCTGTACTTGTGTGCTTGTTTGTTCTGTCTAAAATGTTTATTTTGGAATAAAGAGGTTAATATAAAAAAAATATTTTGTGTCCGATTCATCGATTAATCGAAAAAATAATCGGCCGATTCATCGATTTTCAAAATAATCGTTAGTTGCAGCCCTACACTGGGACTTCTCATGTCCAGGCCACTTTTCGGGAGAGGGCCTGTTTGAAGCACTCCGGGTCAACTTCACCACCGGGCCACAGCGATCTCTCCAGGCTCACTAGAACGTTTTGGTGACACTCTCTGATGTTGACTGGGTATTTGGCCCTCAGCAGCTCATAAGCAGCAATTAACCTCATGTTCTGCTTCACCATCAGGTATTGTATGATACACATGGGTGCCAGAGAGAACCCGTCCCGACAGTGGACTAGGACACGCTTCCTCTTCTCCGTGGATGCATTTATGCACTCGTTGATGTCCTCGAAGCAGCAGTGGTTCAGAGCTGGATGATCATCCAGAGAGTTGGGCATGTCTCCGATGTCCACCTTGAGGCGGGACCAGCTGTGCCGGGAACCACGCGAGCAGGTGCAGGGGATGAGGCAGAGGGAGGGGGCTTGCTCTCCGGGCATACTGCTCATGTCAATGATGCTGTCGATGTTGTTGCGGCACAGCGTGCGCCCATTATATGCTGCATTCAGGTTGCCCACATAAATGTAGTCCGTCACTCTGGAAATGACCGGTTCGGAGTACTGGAAGTGTTCAGGGCCGCTTCGTTTGGGCTCCAGTGCATCAGGGGCCCTGGCCCCAGCTGGTCCTGTGGCAGCTCGCCTGCTGTAGTTGCGCAGCTTCTTGGATCCTGAGCGGGACGGGGGATTGGAGTCCGACTCTGAGCTGCTATTCCACGGTGGAGAGAACAGAGAGAAGCGGCTGGAGGATTTACCCTTGTTGATGATCTCCGCAGGGCTGGGCAGGCTGGAGCTGGTGGTAGATGCCGAGGCGCAGAACATAGACGCTCGCTCCAGAGATCCTGTGCTGCTGGCAGCTCCTGCACTGTGGGCCAGTTCCATCTGTAATCACACAGACAGAGCTGACATGAGGAATTCTCCCAAACAGATTGATAATGTCCTTCTGACATTTTCACAAACAGCCTTCAGGGATCATTCATATTAAAAAAAGGCTGAACATAGAGTATAAATTTAAACTTCAAATTTCCTTACGATTGAAACAAGATAAGATAAAGGTTTAAAAATTGGACTAAACAACCAACTTTCAGTGTGGATGGTAAAAATCCCCCCTACCTGAGCTTTGAGGTTGTTCTTCCACTCCTGAGTCTCCAGAGCCTTGAAGCGGCCGCTGCTGTCAGAAGAGACCGACGCACAGAGAGGCCGGTGGGCTCTGAGAGGTAGCTGGGGGGTGAGGGCCACGGGGACATGCCTCGCACCAGTATGTTCGCTCCGACTCATTGTAAGATCAGGACAAGAGCCTGCAGTGCAAAACCGGCACATGTCAGAACCTGAGAGGACAATTTGCTCAAACATCAGTGATCCCTGCTCTGGAATCAGCAGCCTTAAAAAGCTTCCTCATTAACCCTTGCTAACCTTATATGGAAGAGCTTTTAAAAGGGAAAATTAAAAGTGGAAATTGATGGGATGGCATGTTTTTAATAGAGAAAACACTGCAGCCTTACATAACAACAACTGAATAGTTACTGCACTGTGTTTTGTGCAATTCTACAAAGCATAGTATTATTAAAAAAAGAGTAACAGCTCAGCGTAATTATACCTGACAGAGTTTTGGGTCTTGGCCCCTAATATTATGAGGCAGCATTATTTCTAGAACAATGGTTCCCAAAGTGGCAACATAAAAGTAGCATGAAATAAGTAGCTGTGACATTTATTTAATACAGGATTCAAATATTATGTGCAATTAATTTATTCAATGTCCTGTTAAATAATCAAAATACGTTTAAAGGATGAATTAAATTATCAAATGCCATTAAAAATTGGAAATTGTAAAACCAAGTAATTATTATTAATTAGTGCTGCAACTAAGGATTTGTTTGAAAATAGTACAGTATTTTTTTCGATTAATCAATTAAAAATCGGATAGCAACAGAGTCCTTGAAGATTCTTTATTAAATTAAACCAGGAGTTCAGGATAGAGCATATTAACGGACAATATATAAATATATATATATATATCTTTTGGATAATCAAATTGGAGAAGCTAAAAAAAAAAAAAAAATTATATATATATATATATATATTTTTTTTTTTATATGCGAGTGTTTACATTTTTCATTTTTTTTCTTTTACAATTATGGTCTATTTACTTTCTTAAGTGGCTCTGACAGCTAAAGGCATGTTTTTCAGTCTCTATACTCCAGTTAACAATAAATCCTTTACTGAAATAGTTGACCATTATTTTAATAATTGATTAATTGGGATTAATCCAATTAACTGTTTCTATTATTAATATGGAGTGAAATAAAGCATCTATTAAGCAGTCCCCATTCTGTGTCACTCTTATTTTTGGGGCCACATACTGAAACTTTTGGGAAGCCCTGCTCTTTAATAATCCAAATGAACCTTAAATAGAAAAGTCCAGCAACTAAAAATTGCACAGATTATGTGTTGCATACATCAGGGAAGAGAATTAGGGCCACTGAAAAAATAAAAAAGTTAACTGATTTTTGAATATTATTTCTGTCAGAATTCTGACTTTAATCTCAGAATTCTGACAGCCAACAACATGTTAGCATCAAGCCGTAGCCATGTCTGTTTTAGAGACTAGCTCTATTGTTTTAATCACCTTCTGCTCTTCCATTAATAAAATAGCATCACTGGGGTCTCCTCGGGCACGTAAAAAGTCGCACAATTTCATAATTTTTCACCAATGTGTTACTGGTCCTCTCAAACAACTCACATCTTTGTCAGTGAAGCTGAGTGCTCCCACATCTCTTCCTTCATGTTGCCCATCTACATTAAGATCCACAATTCTGAGATTAAAGTCAGAATTCTAAGAAAAAAAGTCAGAATTCTGAGATTAAAGTCAGAGTTCTGAGATTAAAGTCAGAGTTCTGAGATTAAAGTCATAGTTTTGAGAAAAAAAGTCAGAATTCTGAGAATTCTCATATTATGCTGATATAAAATTGTTAAATTAGTTAACTTTTTTTTGTTTTTCAGTGGCCCTAATCCTCTTCCATACATACATCATCTATCACAGCTGCTGCTGGCCTTTCTTAGCTGAATGGGTGTAAATAAACAGAGGAAGAAGCATCAATTCTAATACTAAGTTGATGCTTTAGTTTCTTTGTCACTGTAAAATATTTTATGGGATTAGGATCCAATAGGACTATTTAAAAATGTTTACATAATCTTAGTCTGCAAACGTAATCTGGTGTGCAGGAGGCTCCACTGACAGGTCACCTTGCTTCTCAACTGGGAACCATTCACCTGATACACGATCATCATGACATCACAGCACACCTCCCTTACCCATGCTCCCATTGTGTCTGCAAATCACCTTCGGATTCAGAAGTCCGTGAGCAAACGGTTGTTTGGTCGGCCTGTGCTTGGTACCCATGCTGCTGATAGAGGAGCATCAGCCAGGCTCGGTGGGCCCGTCATCTTAGCCAGCAGGCCGAACAGCACCTCAGATCCATCTCCCAAACATCGCCTCGGCTCGGCCGTTAGCAGCTCGGTTCGCCGCTAGCAGAGCAGACACCGCTAACTCACCGGGAGTTATGTCAGTCCGTTAGTGCGGTGAAGGAATCCGGTTTAAAATGAGCAGATGCATGCTCACGACCAGTTAGGACTAACATGATAAATGCAGCAGTTTTATTGATCCGGCTGCGGAACGAAGAGCGAATGCGCACCAGCTAACTGCTGCTGGTTAGGTGGATATGGAAAGCCAACAGGACCAAAAAACATCCGACTTTCCACGCGATCTTGGGGGTCGCGTGGACTGTTGTTAGTCCCTGAGGGAAAAAAATTATAATATATATATATATATATATATATATATATATATATATATATATATATATATATATATATATATATATATATATAGCTGAAGAACGCAACAAAATAAAAATCTAAAGAAGATCTGTTTGAATAATCAACATAGAGAAGCTAAAGAAAAAATATATATATATTCTTTGTTACTGAAGCTTCAGAACGCAACAAAATACAAAAAAATATTTTCTTATTCATATTTGATTGATCTTTTGGATAATCAAATTGGAGAAGCTAAAAAAAAAAAAATTATATATATATATATATATACACTCACCGGCCACTTTATTAGGTACACCTGTCCAACTGCTCGTTAACACTTAATTTCTAAGCAGCCAATCACATGGCGGCAACTCAGTGCATTTAGGCATGTAGACATGGTAGAGACAATCTCCTGCAGTTCAAACCGAGCATCAGTGTGGGGAAGAAAGGTGATTTGAGTGACTTTGAACGTGGCATGATTGTTGGTGCCAGAAGGGCTGGTCTGAGTATTTCAGAAACTGCTGATCTACTGGGATTTTCACGCAAAACCATCTCTAGGGTTTACAGAGAATGTTCCGAAAAAGAAAAAACATCCAGTGAGCGGCAGTTCTGTGGGCGGAAATGCCTTGTTGATGCCAGAGGTCAGAGGAGAATGGCCAGACTGGTTTGAGCTGATAGAAGGGCAACAGTGACTCAAATAACCACCCGTTACAACCAAGGTGGGCAGAAGAGCATCTCTGAACGCACAGTACGTCGAACTTTGAGGCAGATGGGCTACAGCAGCAGAAGACCACACCGGGTGCCACTCCTTTCAGCTAAGAACAGGAAACTGCTCATCGAAATTGGACAATAGAAGATTGGAAAAACGTTGCCTGGTCTGATGAGTCTCGATTTCTGCTGCGACATTCGGATGGTAGGGTCAGAATTTGGCGTCTACAACATGAAAGCATGGATCCATCCTGCCTTGTATCAACGGTTCAGGCTGGTGGTGGTGGTGTCATGGTGTGGGGAATATTTTCTTGGCACTCTTTGGGCCCCTTGGTACCAATTGAGCATCGTTGCAAAGGCACAGCCTACCTGATTATTGTTGCTGACCATGTCCATCCCTTAATGACCACAATGTACCCAACTTCTGATGGCTACTTTCAGCAGGATAATGCGCCATGTCATAAAGCTGGAATCATCTCAGACTGGTTTCTTGAACATGACAATGTGTTCACTGTACTCAAATGGCCTCCACAGTCACCAGATCTCAATCCAATAGAGCATCTTTGGGATGTGGTGGAACGGGAAATTCGCATCATAGATGTGCAGCCGACAAATCTGCAGCAACTGTGTGATGCCATCATGTCAATATGGACCAAACTCCCTGAGGAATGCTTCCAGCACCTTGTTGAATCTATGCCACGAAGAATTGAGGCAGTTCTGAAGGCAAAAGGGGGTCCAACCCGTTACTAGCATGGGGTACCTAATAAAGTGGCCGGTGAGTGTATATATATATATATATATATATATATATATATATATATATATATATATATATATATATAATGTATTACTAAAGCTGAAAAATGCAACAAAATACAAAAAAATATAGTTTTGCGGCGGACCACTGACTTTTGAATAATCAAAATGGAGAAGCTAAAGATAAAAGTACAAAAGTGTTATTTATCTGTTATGCATAAGTGTTATCGGTCTATATCTGGGGAAAAAAATGGAATCTTTTAAAATGCATGCACATTGCAAGAAAACATATGAGCCAATACGTTTTCTTTCATATAGTAGAGCCAATAAGTCAAATCTAGGTTGATCTCCGGTTCAATTCAATTCAATTCATTTCAATTCAGTTTATTTATATAGCGCCAAATTCACAACACATGTCATCTCAAGGCACTTCACAGTTCAACCAGATCATACAGTCAAATTGATACAAAGTTTTCTATCTAAGGAAAACCAGTTGATTGCATTGACTCATTGACTCAAATACAATCCCCCACACTAAGCATGCTTGTAGCGACAGTGGAGAGGAAAAACTCCCTTTTAACAGGAAGAAACCTCCAGCAGAACCAGGCTCAGTGTGAGCGTCCATCTGCTGAGGCCGACTGGGGTTCAAGGAGACAGAAGCAGAGATACAAAAAGCAGCTGTAAAAGGCGTCCCCGTGCAGGAAACACACAGCCAGGCAGACGAGCTCCAAGGCAGCTCCCATGCCAGAGGATGAAGAGAGCACATCCACTCAGTCACGGTCAGAGAAACAGGACCACACTGGAAAACAGGCCGATCTCCAACATCTATAAACAAGGGTGTTGATAGAAGCAGCACAGCTGATGTTTCTTTCCAGGATGACGTCACAGCCAAACAGGAACAGACGAGGCAAAGCTACTCTGAGGAAAAGCAGAGAGAGCAGAAGGTTAGAGATTGAACTAACAGATTCTGCAGAATAGGAGAACAGAGAGAGAATGAAGCAGAATGATGAAATGGGGGTCCCTATGTCCTCCAAAAGTCTAAGCCTATAGCAGCATAACTATAGAGATAGCTCAGGATAACCTGAGCCACCCTAACTATAAGCTTTATCAAAAAGGAAAGTTTTAAGTCTAGCCTTAAAAGTAGACAGGGTGTCTGCCTCACGGACTAAAACTGGTAGTTGGTTCCACAGGAGAGGAGCCTGATAACTAAAAGATCTGCCTCCCATTCTATTTTTAGAAATTCTAGGAACCACTAGTAAACCTGCAGATTGAGAGCGAAGTGCTCTGTTAGGAACATAAGGAACAATCAGATCTCTGATATAAGATGGAGCTTGACCATTTAAGGCTTTATATGTGAGAAGGAGGATTTTAAATTCTATTCTTGATTTAACAGGAAGCCAATGAAGAGAAGCCAGGATAGGAGAGATATGATCTCTCTTTTTAATTTTCATCAGAACTCTGGCTGCAGCATTTTGGATCAGCTGAAGGCTTTTAACTATAGTTTGTGGACTTCCTGATAGTAAAGAATTACAATAGTCCAGCCTTGAAGTAACAAATGCATGGACTAGTTTCTCAGCATCACCCCTGGACAGGATATTTCTAATTTTTGCAATGTTCCTCAGATGAAAGAAGGAAATTCTAGAAACCTCTTTGATATGGGATTTAAATGACAGGTCCTGATCAAAAACAACACCAAGATTTTTTACTTTATTATCTGAAATCAGTTTAATCCCATCCAAATGAAGTGACTGGCTAATCAGTTTCTTCTTCAGAGACTCTGGTCCAAAGACTATAACTTCTGTTTTGTCTGCATTCAGAAGCAGAAAGTTAAGAGTCATCCAGGTTTTTATGTCTTCAAGACATGCCTGTAATCTATGTAATGGGTTAGCTTCATCTGGATTTATAGACAGATATAGCTGGGTATCATCAGCATAACAGTGGAAATTAATCCCATGCTGTCTAATAATTCTACCAATTGGGAGCATGTATAAAGTAAAGAGAATTGGTCCTAGCACTGATCCCTGTGGTACTCCACAGGCAACCTTTGAGCGTGTTGAAGATCTATCAAAATATCTATTTATTTAAATATATTTAAATCCGGGAGTCAGCTTTCTATAAATAATCACCTCTTTTTAAGGAGAACTACATAGTCTGATACAATAAACAATGATGTAACACTGTCAACAATAGCATCAATTTAAAAAGAAAATTAATAAATTGTAGTCGTCAGCAGGGTTTTTCTGCCACACTTAAGAAATGAATTCAGGGACATACATTTTTATATATGTTCCAGCATCGTCTTATGATGAACAGCTAAAATTAAACCTTTTTTGGGGAAGAAGAACCCAGTTAAGTTCAATTCAAAGGTTGTTTAAAGGGATAGTTCGAGATTTTTGACATGAATCTGTATGGCATCCCCATCACCAGTGTCATGCAATCACACTGACTTACCCCTGGCAGCGTCCTGTGAGCAGAGTTCTCGTCCAGCTTTGGTCAAGCCGAAAGTAGTCCGGCAGGTTTGCTAGACCCAGCGAAATAAAACGTTTCTCTTCCCAAAACATTATGTGTTCAAAAGAGTGATATTTTTGCATCCCAAAAACATTGTAGTGGAAAAAGTCACACGTCGTTATCACTTGGTCCTATTTTCTCACTGTTCGTATCAGTGCGCGCAACACCATGACCTGACAGCTAGGGCCTGACAACAGCCAGGTGCATGTCTCGTTCCGCCCAGCTAGGAGCTAGGCGGAACGAGACATGCATCTGGCTGTTGTCAGGTTAGTAGGCCCTAGCTGTCAGAATGACGGCGCGCACTGATACGAACAGAGAGAAAATAGGACCAAGTGATAACGACGTGTGACTTTTTCCACTACAATGTTTTTGGGATGCAAAAATATCGCTCTTTTGAACACATAATGTTTTGAGAAGAGAAACGTTTTATTTCGCTGGGTCTAGCAAACCTGCCGGACTACTTTCGGCTTGACCAAAGCTGGACGAGAACTCTGCTCACAGGATGCTGCCAGGGGTAAGTCAGTGTGATTGCATGACACTGGTGATGGGGATGCCATACAGATTCATGTCAAAAATCCCGAACTATCCCTTTAACAGTGGTTCAACAGTTAAGGAAGCATGTATGTTAAGTCCCTAACAGCAACCCCCCACTTGTTGTTAGTCCCTGTCTCGTCTAATTGTTTGACTTTATTTATAAAGCTCCTTATAGAAAATACATCGTAATTTCAAGGCACTTTATATCATACTTGCCCTATATTTACAATATGAAATGACATTATTTATGTATCACAAACATTTCAAAATGACTATCCTATCCCTTTTCCCATAGGACCTATATCTGATTTCATAAATAATGTTGTAATTTGATGAATACCTTGATGAATTATATGATTTATGTAATATACAAAAAAAAACTCCCATACTCCCATATATATATA